TAGTGTATTGACTAAAACTACTATTATTAGAAAGGCTACTTTGGAAAAAATATATATAAATATGAGAGACAAAATGGATTGGGGTCTTATATTTAGAACCAAAATAAAAGTCAAACAGGATCTTATATTAAGGACATAAAATAGTAATAAAGTTTGTCGGCAATTATAATGGAATAGGAAAATATACAGAAGATATTGCCCACGAGAGAATGTCCATGGCAGGATTATCAGTAGAGTCATGTCAAAGTATAGACAGAGACGACAGAAAAGCAGTTGCAATATTGATTTTTCTCCCTTAATAGCCAGAGAAAGATTCAGTAAGATAACTGTTTGGTTAGCTTAGCTTGTTTTTTCTTGCTTTGTTTCAATTTGCTGCACGGAGAGGGAGATATGAAGAGTGTATATATATATATATATATATATATATATATATATATAAATAAACACAAACACACACAGTTGTTGCTAATGATTTTGTGCCTGCAAAGCTGAACTGCATAAGATCTGTGATATGCTTTTGAAGTAAATGGAAGTACTTTTCAAAGGTTATTCGTGTGGATTTGCTTGCATATGACTCATCGCTCATAAGTGCCCTTGCCTGCGGCTTTCCTCAGCTTTTCTTTGTCTCTCTCTAGCTAATAGAATCTTCAGCCACCAACACCTACCTCATTCATTGCATGCAACTCATGATGTATTTTCAAAAAAAAAAAAAAGATTAAATAAAGAATTATATTATATACTTATCTTATGATCGATTTGATGGCCATGAACCTCAAACACAATCATTAATCACTCCTCAGCCTTCAGCAAAAAGTATAACCCCATTTCAAAATCTTCCTTCCCCACGTATATATCAATTTGCTGCTAGCTAGCGCGTCTTTTTGTACGTCCCAGCCTGATCTCTTTCTTTTCTAATTCTGTACTTGAAGATTTTTTGTTATAATATAGCCGATGCCAAACACGCCCTTAAATTGGAGAATCTTGGAGCATCAATACCAAAAGAAAATGATGAAAGTAGCCATGCATGTGTCATACATAACAATAATTGATGGGGAAGAAAGCTTATCGAAAATAAAGGGCAGATTATTATTAATTAGTTCTCCCGGGCACAGTAGTCCAAAAGAGGGATTTTTGTTTTCCTTTTGCTTTAATATTTAATTACGTGTTGTCAAATTAAATAGATGCTGTATTGTTTTCAAAGTTATGGTGATTATGAGTCAAGATTATTTTTTCCTTTTTCCCCTTTACCTTTTGTTGATTGGGGTCTCCCTAACAAAGTTGTCTCATCTACTTTGAGTGAGGAGGATATCTAAAGTTCCCCCGGCCAAATTAACCTCCTTTGATCCATCAGTGGTCCATATTATCCCCCCTTTTTAACCATTTTCACCAGAGGGGAAAACATTATTAACTAACTTACAAAATATTAATTAAGTCGTATTATTAATTTCTGAATGTTCTAAACAGGCAAACAATCTAAGATATCTTTATGTCTGTAATGACTAATGAAAAAACATAGATTTAAATTATATATATATGTATGTATGGAACTCGTTTTATGTTTTTAAAAATATGTATTAATTGAGTGCTCAACAACACGAGTGAGTTGGCTTAAATATACATCACCTAATTGGATGATGAGTTTTGGATCGGCCTTGAGTGGATCTCTGATTATTCTTGATGAGTAATTATGTCTGTATCCCCACGTTTATAGCTTTATTATCAGAGTCTTATATACAGACGTAGGACTAATAGGTATATTAATTATATTGGCGTCAATAAGGGATCAAAAAAATGATTATTTAAATCCCAGGTGACAGCCCGACATCATTCTACTAATTATCGTTTTTGGAGGCATAAATAAATTAACCTGCAGTTCAAGGAACTCATGGAGTACGTGCATTCCAAATGACGAAAGTTAGGGTTGCAATTGCAATTATTTTAATTAGATCCGAAAATTAAGAAAAGGTTTATATATGGAAACAAGAGAAATAAATTAAAAATAAAATAAAAAAGATGGTGATTCGAGCCCAGGGGGACAAAGCTGTCCCTACCGTGTATTGGAATATGAAAGCAAAAGGAGAATATCGCAAATAACATATTATTTCTGTACTGGCTTGTTTGGTTTCCTTTAAATGGCCGGGCCATATGGAGCTGCGCAACTAGCTAGCTAACCCTCTATTTATATTGAATTAACTACTGATTAAATACTGTTTAGGCTTATCGGTAGAAATAATTAAAAAGATGAGAACATACATCAAGCGGATGATGCTCCAATTTGCGTCTATTTAACGAGTTTCGTATTTGATTGCTCATAAAAGAGATGGACCCAGGAGGGACAGCTTATAAAACAGAGTAATGATCGATGCATGTGCATGGACTTTATAAATGAGTACACGTACCTGTAATAATATTATTATCTTTTTGGGAATAAAATACACTTTCTTTAAAATTTTCTATGAATAACCTACCCATAATGTTTCTTACTTTCCTTTGTTTTTTTCCCTGTAAAATTTATATTATTCTCCTTTAAGAGATCTGAAAACGTACATGCTGCACTAGCTTATCCAGTTACGTATCTTTTTCGTGACTAACATTAGATTGTCTTTTGTCACAGCAATACTTGGGGGATAAGTAGCAACCTGGTAGAAGTTTTTTTAAACAAAAAAATGCATTGATATTTAAGTAAAATTTTATATTCAAATTTAAAATCCAAATTAGTGAAGAACAGAGAAGACAAAATCCAACACAATAAAGATGAAATAGAGAGACGCACAAAACTCAACGTAGAACACATTTGTGCATGTGGTTTGTGAAAAATAAATTACATGAGATGTTATAAATATGCAAATAAATTGTTCATAAATGGATACACACACCCGAATATACAAGCAGATATAAAATGCTAATTTGAGAGTAAGAAACTAGAAAGAGAGGGAATGTAATTATTTGAATAGGGACATGTTGAGAGAAAAGTGAGTAAAGGGGGCATGGGCGCTATGGTATGGGGGTGAGCTGATGAAGAGTGAAGACAGAGACTTGGCCATAAAAGCTAGCGCAGGAGACTGTGATAAGTGCGGAGCGTAACAAAGGGTTTGGATGATATTTGATTTTGCGTATCGGAGTGTTTGGGTAAAAACAAAATCATAGTTTCAGAAATATTTTTAAGGTATACGAAGTAAATACATAGATGAGTTTGCCTCGATTTATAAAAAAGTACTTCTGAAAAGTGATTAAAGGGTGTTCCAAACACCTCCTAAATCTTTTGTCAATTCTCACTACACACTTAGACACTCTACTGTTTTCCTCTTTTATGGCTTCCCAAATTTTTAACAAGAAAAATAACCTGAAAAGAAGTTAGAAATTTTAATATTTTAATTCAAGCACTTAAGAGATCAAAATCCGGGAGAGAAAGTGATACCTGATTTAATATTTTGTAAATGTAGTTAAATGACAAAAATACTTTTGTATCAAAAAGTTTATTAACAAGTTATGAACTGACAATAACTAGTGTTAAACGGTAAATAATAACAAAAATATATTGACAATGATAAGTTATTTATTAATAAGTTGTGAGTTACCAATAACAAGTGTTGAATAAGTAATAACAAGAAATAAATTGATAGTGACAAGTTTAATAACTTTTTCTTTTGAAAATCTGATACAAAGGTATTTTAATTATTTGACTATATCTGTAAAATATCATGTGAGGCATTGTTTCATCTGAGATTTTAATTCCTTGAGCACTTGGATCGGAATATAATAAATTTTAATTTCTTTTTATGTTATTTTTCTTTTTTAATAAGCACGTACGAGATGACTCATCAGTGGCAAAGAGAATGAGGAAACCCCACAATCCACATGGCCTTCCACTGACAGCGCACAGTGTGGGAGCCTGGGAGGCCATGGTTTTACACAAAACCCCCTTCTCCGCCCAAAAGCCATTACCCTCTGCTAATCATAAAGCTGACTTCATTTCCTGCATTACTATCTCTACCACAATACATTATATTACATGTACATGTACGTACGTCCCATGACACATGGCTTAGAAAGAGTCTAGAGGGGGGGGGGGGGAGCTAGGGAGGGTGGTAATTTTGATGAAGGGTCGTATCAGGCTACAGTAGCTAGGTGAGAGGCATCGGTGTATGTTGCCAATCTCTCCAACTCCAACCACCTCACGTTGGGCTCCACCCCCTCCCTCGCTGAGTCTTTGCAGATTTCACATTTCAGCCATATGCCTTTGCCTTTCATTTCATTCCCCCTCTGTTTCTCTCTCCTATCCCCACCAAAGCTGCATTTCGTTCCATTCCCACTTCTCTCTATCATACCTTACCCAAGTTCTTTCTGGGACCATCATCATTTCGTTCATCCTCCCCTTCCGATAAATCTTTCCCTATCCTTTCCTTTTATATATATAAATTCTCTCCCTAAGCTGATATTTTTCCTTTCAACTTTCCCAGCAAACGGATACTGTGACAAAATTTCCATCATCTCCAAACATTACCCATGAATTGAATCGAGTCTTTGCCTGTATGTATCGAAACACTGTGTGACCCCGAAATCCTTCCCAAGAATAACAAGGGCACGTGCAATTTTACAAAAACATATATGTCTGTGGCAAATAAAGATTAAACTTTGTCAGCCTCCTTGTTACCCACTAGCACTGAGCTTCACTTCATCATCTGCATATCTTTTCATGTGGATAATTGTGGGTAACACGGAGGATCTTAAGAGGAAAGTCATGAAATTCCCCCACGAGTTTTTGTCCGTGCTCACCCAACATATTGTCATATGCCAAAAGTACATGTGCTTCCTTCAACATCCATGCATATGCATCTAGCCAGATGCATACATATAGTATACGATGGAGCACTCGTTGCACACATTCGGAAATATCTAACTTGCTTAAAACCAGTTTTTTTTTTTGCTAGCTGTTGATATAGCTCTATCAGCAATTTGAAAATATAAATAAATAGCCAGCACTACATCTCCTATAATAAAAAAAAAATCATGTAATATATATAATAAAACAGGATACATTTTAAGCTGAATATTCTCTGGGGTATGCGCCGCTCCTTTGTCATAATTATGAACGCTTTAGCCATAATTTACTTAGTAATATGCTCCTGCCCAATCAGAAACCTAAAAAAGAAAACATTCTTAGTTATGCAATGTCTGAAGCAGTACTTGGGAGGTGAGGGACGGGGAAGGGAGGGGGGTCTCTACAGCGGAGGGCCAAAATATTTCAATGATGAGAGGTCAACTTTTCAGGAGAACCGAGTTCTTTAATGATGTCTATAGTATCTCCCTGATGATATTCCAAAAGAAGGAAGAAGGGCAAGGAAATTATATCCGATGAGTAAGAGGACGACTCAACAAAAGAAACAGGCATTATAAAAAGAGAGGGAGAAAAATAAAAAATAAAAGCTGGCTTCCCATTTAAATTTGACGTACGTACTTGATTATATATATAGTTCCCAATACAAGCCATGATCGCTATAGTAATCCTGCTGATCCGTTGGAAAAGGTTCTAAGATAATTCACATACACATACAAAATCACGAATCGGTCCGCCGCTTGTCTCACTAGGTGGATTCATTATCTTGCTCTACTTCGGATGCTGGCTCATCTTCTTCTTCTAAGCCAGCGATCCCATACGCAGCATGGCCGCTCCCAAAAGCCTTGATATGATCTTTAAGCGACCTCTTGTGTTTGAAATCAGAGCCACAAATACAATACCAAAGCTTCCCGCAGTTCTTCTCATGGGTTCTCCAATCCCCTCTCACAGCGAAAGCCTTGCCACATTTTCTGCACATGAAGGGCTTAATCCCATGCTTCCTCTTGTAGTGTGTCTGAAGGGTTCTAAAATCCTTGAGGGGCTTAGCCCTTGGGTGGTCAATGTTGTTCCTGCATCCTGGGGCACAACAATAGCAAGGAAGCCTCAGCATGCCCGTTGGTTGTGTACCTCTCAGAGATTCTGGCCCTTTTCTGTACTGTGATCCATGCCCCCACATATGCATCTGAGGAATTACATAATTAGGGACATTCCAAAAGAAAAGATAATCAAAAGCTCTAATTTTGTAGTTTAACCTTTACAGCCTTAACGCAAAAAAGCAAACTGTCAGTAAATCTCAACGAAACCATATGTACTATATATATGTTGTTCAGCCGCGAGTTGTCATCTTATATAGGCGAGGCATGGGTATAGTGCAGTTACATATGGCTGGAGGTGTGTGTTCGAGGCCGATCTCAGTCAGCTCAAATAAAGGAAGACCGTACCCAATTACTTGATTAAGGAAATATCCGAAATACCTATACAAGAAGTGTTATTACGATTTGATTTTCATTTATGAAGAAGGGTATATATATTTACCCTGAATTTTCGAGAGATTTATTGTATCTATACACTGAAGCATTGGATTAGAGAATCTTTGAAACCAAACACCGCAAATCTATGAAATCTACATAGATAGTCATTATGAGGATCTAGCTAGAACGGAAAAGAAGTAAATTAGGACGCAAGTAGAAATTATGAATATGTAAGAGAGAGCAGGAGGGAAGCGCTATATCCCATGTATATATGGGGGAATTTTTAAGGAATCGCGATGCTGTTTGGATTCAGACCGAGGGGCCTTCAAGAGAAACAAATTGGGGTGTAAGATTAATATCATTATCTGAACGATCTGGAAGAAACACTGCAAAATTGTTCAGTTATAAGCAGCTGCCAAAATATGGAGCAGTGGAGCGCGGACTTCAATGCAGTAAGGACATAATTAAGGAACAATGGCTGAGTAGTTTAATCCGCGAAAAGGAAAGGTACTGATGTAAGTCATGGTTTGAATCGGGGAAAAAAAGATCTATTTGCTCATTGTCTAGCTCAAAACCGTTTAATTTCACCGTGCATTTTTAAAAAAAAATAAATACTAATAACTTTAATCATTGTAAGGAATCGATAAAAATGACCCAGGAAGTAAGGGGGAAAAAAGGGAAGAAAAGAAGAAGTATTCAGGTTGAAAATGGAGCTATCTTTTCCTTTTTCCGCGGAAACATGTAAGAACCATTAAGAACTTAAATCCCAGAGGAAAAAAAGTGGTATAGACAGAGAGAGGGAATTGAGAAGAAGAAAGGAAGCTCTTTTAGAATTAGCAGAGAGGGGGGGGGGGAGAGAGAGAGAGACCTGCATGTTGTTGTAGCGGTTGAAGCTTTTGGAGCAAACAGGGCAAGAGAACTGGGTAGGACCAATGAGAATCTGAGTAGGAGTAGGGATCCAGTACTGGCCCTTGTTGATCCTGGAGAGTCCAGAGCAAGAGTTATCCACAAAAGCATCACCATCTGCTGCTGCTTCTTGTGCGTGAGTGGAGGAAGAAGAGAGGATAGAAGCCATCTCAGCAGCACTAGGGTTAGGCAGCCCTATGTGGAGTGCAACAGTCACACTATTCTCATCCTCTTCTTCCTCCTCCTCTTCATCATCTTCTTCTTCTTTAGTCTTAGGAGCAGTACTGTCCTCCACTTCCATGGAAGTACTGCAAGACTGGTGATGATGATGATGAGGCTCATGATGTGATCCATGCTTAGTGGGGTCGAGGTTCAGAAGAGGGAGGGCTTCCCTGAGAGGTGGGGAAGTGGGAGGCGAAGAAGAAGAAGAAGAAGCGATGAAGTTGTGGAGATAAGGATGATGATGATGGTGTTGGTATGATACCGGAGGAGCGGTGGGAGGAGGAGGAGGGGGATAATAGTAAGGGATGGGATTGAATTGGAAAAATCCAGAAGGAGGAGGAGGAGAGAAGAAATTGGAGAAAGGATCGGCCATGGAAGGGTCAAAAGAAAAGTAAGTCAGAGAGAGATGGGGGGGGGGGGGGGAACAGTTTAAGGCTTTGGTGGGATTGCTTTTATAGAGAGATGGAGAGACTACAAGATGGCTGAAGGAAGTGGGTGGTGGACACAGGAGAGATATATATGCAAGGAGTACCGGAACAGGGATGACAAATATATTTAAGCGTGCTACTCAATAAATTTCATAATTGCCTTTTCTTTTTTGTTGTATCCCATAATAATTAAGTTAAAACATTATATGATTAGAGGTTTCTTTGGCTGGCTTCATCCAGTATTTTAGGGTTGGACTGGATATATGTCCTATATAAATATAAACTTTGAATTTTTCTTTTGTTCGGTCTAGCTAGTCTTTATTTGAGCTTGAAGTCAGCCTTTTAATTTTTTTTTTTTTCAGAAGATTCTAATTCATTCGCGCAAACCAACAACTCTGACTAGGTTTTTACTAGTACCTCCGGTCTTAATTATAAGAGCTAGTTGACTAATTTGAAAAGATTAAGGAAGTAAGTTGAGTTAGTTATTTGTCCTACTAGGTTTTGTCTTTCCTAAAATATCCTTACTAATCAAGTGTATTAATTAAAAATATAATTATTAGAAGGATTATCTTGAAAAAAATTAAGTAAATATGAGAAACAAAGTGGATTGGAGTCTTATATTTAGGACTAAAATAAAAGTTAAACAGGGTTTTATATTAAGGACCGATATTAAGGACCGGAGGTAGTACTATTTAATATCAATTCACCATCATGAATGAAGTACAAATTATATATTTTTCAATTGTCACTGGCTAATGCGGTCTGAACTAATCTAATTTACATGAGTTGGGGGTTTAGTATAATCTTAAAAAATTACACTACATGTTAACATGCCACTAAATTATATTTTACTGCCTCTTTTATTTTGAAACACCGACTAACCTAAATTAAACTGGAGCATATACACACACACACACACACTGATCAAGATTGGGCTTAAAAAAACGTTGAATCACTTCAACTAACCTCAACGTTTATCACACACACACACACCCCATGAGAAATTGGTTAATGAAGTCGAAAAATAGTTAAATTCTGCGTTAAGAATTGAAGACAGATATTATCACCGTTTTAAGTTTTTCCCTACTTAATGAGAACAAATCTTCCTTATCTGGTCCGACTGAACTAATTCTACTTGACCCTCGAGTCAAAAACATAAATTGTCTTTAGAAACCCTAATTAAAAATATATGACTTTTTGAGCAGCTAACATGGTTTTTTTTTTCCACCAAAAGAATTGAGTGGTCACGTCTTATTTTGACGCCTTTGACTATTATAACATGCTAACATTTTTTTTAAATTCTTGATTGTGATTATATATGGACTTACGGAAGAATGCCGTTACCGGCGGTTTATAGTTATCTACCACCGTCCAATTAACCTCCACTTTTATTTTCATTTCCTCGATGTGTGTGTTTGTGTCTGTTCGGTAGAATTTGCCGTTCAGCATAGTCAATTGTGAATTGACTTTTTTTTCCCTTGATCTTTTCCCACTTTTTTCTCTGGGCGGATGAATGAATATTTGTCATGAACATCCAATTTTCATTTCTAGGAAAATAATCAAAAGCCTGGACTGGAAACTTTTTTCAAAACACACCGTCCGATTTCATTAAAAAAAGCCAGGAATCAGATGAGTGAATGATTATTTTTAAAAAATAATCATGCAATATAAAAGTCTTTTAGCTAACTAATTATCATCACCTGACTAATTAATTTGTTCAGTTCTCCCCCTTTACACGATATATCTAATTATCTACATAGCATCATGATGACTTTAGGTATTTTATTTTAGATGGAGTATAATTTTTGAAATATTGTAATAAAACTATATTTTAAAATTCTAATTTCAAAAACATGTATGCAATATACAATATTGATGAAGGTTAGGGATAAAGATAGAGTGCTGGCATGAACCTAACTCTGGACTGAAGGTCACACAAAAAACCCTCAAACCCTGCTATAATCTACACTTTCCTAATCCAGAACTTTATTACGATGAGATGTTCATTAACTGGTTAGCAGGAAAGGCAGATAAGTATTTAATACGTAACCAATTAGAAGTTTACAGGGGTATTTAAATTGATTCTAACTCTGGCAATTAATGGCGGGAAACCATTTTCTCTTCCAGTTCAAACTAAACTAGAAAACGGATGCACAAACCCTCAAAGCATAATAAAACACTTGATGGATCCAAACAAGTAGATTAAAGCAGTAGTAATTTGATTAATTACATGATAATATAAATTTACGGTGAGCATCATGTTGAAACCGGGATGAGAAATATCTGAAGGGAACATGATTAAAATTAAAGGGATCGTATGGATCACAGTCCAAAAAAAAAAGGGGGGAGCGTATGGATCAGAAGAGAAACAGATGGGTGTCATTAGAACAATAATGTTATTTTGTCTGGTAGAGGGGGGAAGGGCGGCAAGACGCAGATTGGGCGTTTGGCTGTTTGATGTTGTGATGAAAACATTCTGTACGTATAACAGTATTTCCTTTATGAAGCTTACCTATCAGTTTCTTGTTTTTGGCCTTGTTCACGTTTTCTTCCTCCCCCACCCTCCCTCCACAGTAATTAATAAACCCAGAAATTACAATTAAGTTCACAAGCAAACCCTCCCATTAATTTAATTTAATATATCCTTGTTATCAGATTGCACGCATCCCCGGTTAATTAGTCAGCCATAAAGGTTACAACCTGTTTCTCAAATCCTCCACCACCATCATTCATTGACAACAACAATCGGCTCCGACTAGTCCCCAGCATTTCCATCGGTTTGCGCACCACCCGGTCGGTTCAAACATCTGCGTGCTGTAGCGAGAGTTCTTAGACATGTACATATGTATGTATTGTCGTCATCTCTCGCCCCGTTATATTATATATATATATATATATATATTATAGGAGTTGTCATATATATTAACAATCCTTGCTTGTTCATTTTTACTGTCACCTTCAGATTACTGATCTTGGGGTTCATCAGGTGTATGTGCTGGTTGTAAATAAATAAGTAAATAAGGGTAGGTTGTGTGTTGCAGCGGAATAGTGCAACAGCTGTTTGTTCTAATTCCTGAGAGACAGTGAAAACTTGAAAAGCAGGCCATCTTGGATTATTAACCTCAGGTTGGGATATGACTATTGAGGGGGGGAGAAGCTAGCTAGCATTTAATGAGACACATGCTGTTCACAAATTGACCACAGAGACGGCAAAAAGAGCCAGAGTGTAGTGTTGGCCAGTGCGAGAACAGCAGTCTAAAGACTAGGAACAGCGTGGAAGAAGCAAACAAATCAAACAGGCCGGGTGGTAGAAATATATATAGATTCACATATATATACTTGTATGTATTAGCAAAAGACAGTGCACATCAACACTTAAATTACATGTCACCATACCAATTTGCACAATTCAAACATCACTGGCACCTGGCCTTCCACTTCTGAACCCGTGGCTCCCGCGTATTGAGAGCGATGCCTTGCCTTACTCTCATTTTCACTTTCAAATTGTGCCTTCATGGGACCATGCTGTGTCACACTTGTGGTTTTAGACCATGGAATTAACCTGGCCTATTCCTGTTGACAGTTTTGCAAACTATAGGCGCATGAAAAGGGCTCAGGCTATTGGCATTATATATGGGATCCATATATAGTCAGGAAGGAATTAATTGATTGGTGGTATAGCTCTCATGACCATGAATCTAGGTTTTTCTTATCCCCAGCATTTAGAACCACTTTCTTCTGCTCCTGTCGCTTTCTCGCTTGTCTTTAGTTTTCAAAAGTTCCCCTTCTACTAAAAGCTTCTTAAGTTGGCTTGCTTTTGTTCTTCTTCTTTATACATACCCTTATTAAAACATCCCATCTGACAACATTTACTATATCCATGATAAGCGTTGTTTTTGCTTTACAGTTCACCCTTCACGATCATTTTGAATGCCAAAAGATATATGGTGCATTTGTAGGATCCATATCTGCACTGAAGTAGAACTGTAGCATAAACTGTGTGCCTTTAAATATGCTTTCAATAGTTATACAGACTGTTCATTATTACTCATACGTCGTCTTCACCTTATAGCTCTTCGCTTTTACACCCCTTTCTGACTTTCAGTCTTGACAGATTCACGAACAAAACAACAACAGAAAAAACAGATATATGTGTGATTACATGAAATGTGCAGAGATATACATATATATATATATATATATTTATCAGTCAGGTGAAACCTGTAGAGCATGATTTGGTAGAATTAATTAAGAAGGCAGGAGAAATTTGTAGATGGAAAAGGGGACACGATCAAACATTTTAAGCAGAAAGGGTAAGTTAATGTCTTGATCAGAGATCCCATGATATTTTCACCCTTTACGTTTTCGAGACACCACGAGCGAGTTTACGTCGAAAGATGTGTGAATTGGGCAATTAATTAAGTATAATTCTCTGTTTTCAATATTTCATGTCCATATATCTCTTCTGAAAAGTTCTTCATTGTTCATGTATAGCACTGCAATTGTTAATCCCCATGAGACTACACATGCGTAAATTTTAAAGCCCTGTTTATTTTAATTTAATCTCCATATATATTAATTCCTATCGTAAATTCTAGTGTGGTCCCGCAAGTGCTGCTTGCAGTAATTTAATTTGTAAAGCAATCGATTGCATGGGATGCCCCGGTTAAAAAATCAAGAGAATTAACTTTTATTAACGTGCCATCTAAACAATTCTAAGATCGATGTTTTAAGTTTCATGTGAGCCAACGATATATTTCAATATATGGAGAGTACTTTGGGCCTATAACGCCCAATTGAAATCTTCTCGTTACTCTACAAATTAATTTTAAAGAATTAAATATAATTAATATGAATGTGTAGAATATATTTCTTTCAAAAACAAGTAAAACTTTGGATTTTCACAATAGTCCGGTTAAATAGAGATATATTTTTGGAGGAGACAGTTTTTTATATTGAGAAAAGTATTATTTGTGGCGTGTTACTTAATTAAAAATAAATTCATTTTTTATCGATCGAGCATAATTAACTGATGATAAGATGCTCTTAAAAAGTAGAAAACAGCACAAATGTAAAATCATTTTAACTTGATAAAAAAAAAAACTGTGTTAATATAATTTCTAATCCCTTAAATCTGTCATCATTTTAATTTTAATCCCTCGAATTTTAAATCATAGATTTTGGTCCTTTAAGTTTTTTTCTATTTAAAATATTGGTCCATATGATTTGATAAAAATTTAGACTATTTTATCTATTAAGGGACTAAAATCTATTATTTAAAATTTGATGAACTGAAATTAAAATGAGAGCTAAAGAATTAAAAATTGTATTAGTCCGAAAACTTTAACGATAACATGAAGTGGACAAGGGATTCAATACGCAGAGCGTGAGGTCCACAGTTCATAAAGTCACGTCAGAATTTCTCACTGGAAGCCATTGAAGACCAAAATTTAAGGAAGCCTCTGGTTTTGCAAAACAACGGAAATACTATGAAACAATGCAAAATGAAGCTATCTCTTTTGAGTATTTTCTTCTCATTCATCCCTCCCACGTACATATAACTGTTGTTCTTTTCTTATCATTCAAAGAATCAACCTTCCTGGTGCCACTTTAAGTGAATTAATTAATATTCCCCGTGTCATCAGCTCTCATTTATGAGAGGTTAGTTAATGAAGCCGTAAATTTTCAAGAGAAATTATGTGGTGGCAAGTAACGGAGGAAGATGGAGTAATGACAGTTAAGAGTTGAATGGCAGCAACAGGATACGTGATGATTGGGACTCACTGTTCACACGCAGTGTGACATCATCAGTAAGTGATTCCTGTTCAATCCTACTCTTTGTCTCTCTGCCTATCTCAACCTCTAATCACTTTCACAGCCCAACTTTCTTAATTTAATCCCTCTTTCATAAATAAACAAGGCAGTGCTGATTATGATGATAATCTCCTGAATTTTGACCCGAGCAGTAAGCCCACCATCTCATATTCATTCTTCTTACCTTTTTTTCCCGTGGCCTGAATTCTAATTATTAATTAATTAATATTATTGAAAGTAGGCTAGCTGTAAAATTATGCAGATTCTAAACTACTCCCTCCATTTCATTACAATGTTTTTAGAGGCATTAAAGTACTGTTGGCAATACATGATTTTTCCCAGTATTCACTGCACTTTTAAACCTTTGAGCAGTAATCTTGAAGGACAAATATAATGAAAGGGAAGGAGGAGTTTTTGTGCTTTGTTTTGGCTGTGATGGGTCAACTAGGACCTAGAAAGCGTTGGATGAACAATCAGCATCACGAGGCAGTGGCAGAGGCTGAAATAGTTGGTTAATCAAAGACTCAGTTATGAGGGGGAAAAAGAAAGGTATGAAAGCTTCCTTCTTCAGTCATTACTGTTACAAAAAACTCCAAAAGTCGTGTCCTTTTCATTCTGTGCCTTGGACTGATTCGTGACTATTAACCCATTTAGAGGTCATTATTGTGATCTTGTCACTTTGTCCCAACATTTCTTTCTTTTACTCCTCTTCTTTCTCCTTTTCCTTATGCGAATAGAGTTACAGGGTATCTATGTAGTCGTTAAAATCATCAGTATCTTGATTACCTGGTTCAGCCCATATCCTTTTGAGGAAAAATATTATACAATATTTGGTGCTATTACATTGAATCATATTCATATTAGGATCGGTCTCAAATAGGAAAAACTATTCCTTTTATATATATATAGACCCTGTAATATCCCTAACCAATAGCTAGATACTAATCCTCCCAAAAAACAAGGGTTACTAAAGTGAGTTTTGCTTCTTCTAACAAAGCCTTTTTCCATATATATGACTTGACTCGAACCCAAAACGTCATGTTTAAAGGACATAGCCATTTATCAATTGTGCTAGCTTTGTTGGTGAAAAAACTATTCTAATATTATACCCCCCAAAAAAAATACTATTATAGTGGTATGCGAAGTCCCTTTCACCCCGCAAATCATAGTTAGCATGTATCCTTTATTTTCTTGTTAAGTGAGAAAAACCTCACAAGCAACAAAAAGATTACTTAAAATTTCATAAAATTTTTGTTGAGAGAAAGAGTTTCATTCATAATCTCTTGTTCTCACGATTAACTTTTTCATTCACAAGACTTAAATTTCATATCTTATTTAGAATAGTGAATTCCTTTCCATTTAGCCACCATTGTCCCGTTTCCTTTATTTTCCCTTAAAGATGCAAATCCCATATGCAACCTAAAATAAAGCAATTACAAAAACAGAGCTAATTTAAAACTTCGTGAGTTTTTTCATGAATTTCAGAGAATATTACAGCGTCCAGCCCAGCTTCTTGCAATCCAACTAATAAAGCCCACCTTTCTTGTTCTTTTTTCCCGAATTTTTGAAGTTTACATAAATTATTATTAAATAATTTAAAATCATAAATTATAAATTAGAGCCTTGAGAAAACAAGAAACGAAATACATCGCGACTGATACCGGTGCCGTTCTTGGTGGTGAGGACACCAGAGGACTCATGAAAGCTAAATAGGCTCTCGTCAATTATTTCAACGAATATTAGTCCTCAAAACAGGGAAGTCACCGCTCACATAAAGTTTGTCCGATGAGGCCCAGGTCTTCATGGATATATTCACACCTGTTCTTCCACCAAGTTTAAATCCAAAATCACAAAACAAGAATAAAATGGAAGCCAACGAGAAGCACATGCGAAAGAGGGTATATGGATATACATGGCCAAAATATAAATGATACCAAATTAATTTAATCTACTCCGAAGGCCCTTCCACAGCCAAGCCTAGATTGTCTATACAGTTTATCCTAATAAAACTAGAAAATAATGAGCCCATATGCATACCAAAACCTGCATGCAAGAATTGAATGCAAACGAGTAAAATACGATGATTGAGTCACTAAACATAAGTGACAGTTGACGCGACAAAAATAACATTGTAGAGAAAGTCCCTATGCATGGAAGCCTTGAGGAGCGAGTAATTAATGTTCTTTGCTGTTGCTACCATCCTGCTCTCCTCCCCTGTTCTTGGGCTTTACTGGGGTTACCTTGGCAGGAGTTGAGCGTTCTGACTGTGAGAATTGAATCAAGATGTGCATGAGCACGGTAACAACTGCCAACCCAAAAGCTGACAATGCAACACCCTTCCACGACGATAGAATGGAAGACCATTGGAGGAACTTCACACCCCCACAAACAACCAGACAAGCCCAAGACACAACCACCTGTGCTCCCAACAGGAAATTCTAGCAGATTAGGCAAACTACCATAGGCACAGAGCATAAATATGGGAGGAAAACTGAAAGTTGAAAAATTAGTTAGTTGACCAGCTTGAACTATTAGCATCTCACCAAAAGAGACTTTATAGGTCGACCGGTATTCTGCAACGGTTGATCACTGAAGGTATCCTCAACTTTATGTTTGTCCAACAATACATCCTGGTATGTGGTGTCCCCAGGGGAAAAATCAGTAACAAAGAGAAAGAAGAATGTATGAAATTGTAAAATGATCGCACTAACGGAATTATAGACAGAAGCACTAAAAATATGAGGAACAGATTCAAGCATAGATTATTTGCACACAATTTGGAAAAATGAACTACTAGTTCATTTTCTCTATAAAAGCATGGACAGGCATCCCAGAATGTCAGCTACAATAGACAAGCACCTTGGCAACAAATACATCTCGACACCATTGAGCAACAGCTTCATCTGTTTCAGGTAATTCCTTCATCAAATGCCGCTTGATATGCACATGAACCTGTTGTGGGAAAATGAGTACACGTGTACGAGTTAAAGGTTTTAAACAACCATTTGTTGAGAAGTGAAACCACCCCCCTCCCAACCAAAAAAAAAAGGGTCCCCGCCCCCAAGCGCAGGCAAAATAAGAAACACATACGACTGCAAGTAAGAAATCAAATCCTCTTAAAAGAAGCAAATCAAATGAAAACAAACAAGGGAAACCTCTTAAAAGTCAGAGGCACCCTGACCTTGTCCTGCCATAGACATCAAAAGCCTCCAAAATACGAGCTGTGTTAAAACTGATGGTCATGTATCTCATGGAAATGGCAAAATAAAACTGCTCTGAAGTAAGAGCTTAGATAGTCAGTGTGCTCCTACGTCAACTGAATGAATAATAAACTCCAGAGTCCACTCCACAAACATTATGGCATAAAAATTGAACAAATTAAACTCATCCACGGGCCACAAAAAAAAAAAGAAGACCAAACCAAAAGGAAAGAAAGAAATCTTGAACACAGTGAAATAGACTATTAACCCTGACCTACAAAATGCATGGCTTCCAATAGACAATCATATACAGAAATATAACCACCATTAATACACAACGTATTCAGATATCAGGCTCACTTCTTTCAGCATCTAAATCCTATTCATAATCCCCCCCAAAGCTAATTTCAGCACCAGCAGTTACGTATACTGCCCATAAAGTGCTTTAGTTGGGAGGCAGTGCAACACACCCAAAAAGAAACATAATGAAAATTCCATAAAATAACAAACTTGTGATTGGTTGACAGAAGAACCAAAGTAAACTTGAGGGAAACTGCAATAAAGCAGATATATGAGGAAAAAACATGACAAGAAGTTTAATATTCGAGAGCAGTAGAAGATAATATGGTGGAAGAAAAGGAGTGAGGAATCAATGTTCAATACAGTTGCTTTTAAATCTCAACTTTGATCCCCTTACCACTGATGGTTTCCCCTTGAAGAGTCTTAGCATTGTAGGGGCTGGAGAACCTTTAGGAATAGCCACAGTCACATCATAAATGGCAGGAACGAATGAGCGCATATGACTCACTGCTGAAACAAAACCCTGAAAACAACATAACTGAGTAAACATCTCAGAGAAAAGCACATAAGAATGATTGAGCCCGAACAGTCGTATGTCTATAATTTTTTCCAATATTTTTAGGGATAATTTATAATAAGTAGAAAGGTAGATAGAGTGGCGCCACCAATTATAATATATCATATGGTAGCATGTTTTCATAAACAACTATTCCAATACATGAATACTACTATAGACAGATGGTTAGATAATTTAGCTGTTACTGATCCTGCTAGTGCTAGCTAGACTAGCTTCTAGCAAAAGGTCTACCAATGTATGTAAATCGGTAAGTGGCAGCAAGCAGAGGGAAAATGAAAACAACAAAGGCAAGACAATAACAAGAACTCACTTTAGTTCGAGGAATCAACACATTTCTAGGAACAGGCAATCCAGTTGAGGTTGCATATTCCTGAGCAGCTAATAGTTTTGCCTGTGTAAAGCGAGTCCCCTCTACAAAGAGAGCCAACCAAAAAGGAAGAGGATAATCCTTTAGTCTTTGGATGCCTGACTGCAAATACAGCATCACAAGCTCAATTCAGAACCACAACAGGAAAAGAGAAAATTTCAGAGCAAGCACATAGGACCTTAGTTAATGCATATGAGCTCATCTACATAATATGGATGAATGTGAATCTCTTACATGCATGCAGAATATATGCTTGGTATATTTTAACAAGTCATACCTTTAATGTGCTTTCATCCTTGGCCCAACTTCTCTCCAGAAAAAGATACTCAGAGAACCACATTGACCAACCAATTACCTGCATTTATAGAACTTTAAAGGTAGACCACAATGATAAATTAAACCAGCAAGTGGTCATGCTATTGATAATAAGTTCATACACATCAATTATATATACGGACATTCATACCCCAACTTAAAATTGCATGGATACACATCATCAAATGGTTAGATCATAATGTCAGCAAAACAAGAATCATTCCATCTTCTCATTTTGGAAAGCACAAGGACCACTTTACAATGAGAGACATACCGGCAGCATTTTTGATGATTTCTTCATCACAGCTAGAGAACTTCCGAGGCAACCAGAGCGCTGTTAAATGATGTTCAAAAATCAATTAGAGTTGAAGGACATATAACAACACAGATGTAAGAGACACAAAAAATATTAATCAATTAGCACCACATCTTCGAGTACAATAATATACATGGAAAAAGTAAGCCTGAAATAAATGAGCTATGCTATCCATGGATCCTAAATGTGCTAAATATACTAAATGCCTGCATTATTTATACCTGTTAAAAGGCCATAACAAATAAGAGATTCACCTGAGCTAAAACCCATCCAACAAGCCAATCAATATCACTTCTATGATTGGAGATGACAAGTGCATGCTCTTTACCTATATCAAGAACAAAATAAGAAAATCATTTACAATCTGGTCACAAATGCTGGGCACAGCAGAACAGAAATATTTATTTTTTCCCCTCCAGAATACAACAAATGCAAAACATGGAAAAAAAGAATTTGAAGAGATGAAAGAAATGATTTAGCAGGCTACCATTACTTGCATATGTTGATAAGAGACTTACCCATCATACGAAAAGTTTCACTGTCAGCAAATAGTTGGACCTGCAGCCAACCAGAAAGTTAAAAATGAAAGATTTGGTTATTCAAAAAAGCTACAGAATGAATCATTCAATGGCCGTTCATAATTGACTGTCACAGCTTCAACATGGCTAGAGAGAATGAGACGTGCAGCCATTGAAATGAACCATAAAGGTATCAATTACGTTCCCTTTGATCAATTACAATGCTTAAATGAATAAAATATTTGAAATACGAACCAGGAAGCCTTGTTCAATTGGAAGTCCATATTACTGAACCCAAACATCAATTTGGATAATTAATTCCCTCCAGCAAACTTATGAGTATGTAATAAGTATCTAGATCTCCCCCTTTTTTGTGAATTTAGGTGTAAGATATAATATGTAACATATTACTCTTAATGTAATCGCACTTAACTTTTGCCACACACTCAATACGCATAGTGCAAGACATAGAATGCGAAAGGAAAATAAGAATTTTTTCCTAGTGACAAGCACCTAGCTTTATCGGCAACAATAATGCAATAAAACATGACAAAAACCAGGAACTGCTTAAACACCTTAACTCCTGCCCACCAATCAATAATCCATACGAGTTCCAGCCACAACAGTTCAGCTGCAACCCTGTTGATTCGTCTATACAAATTTTTCGATAGGGGCCGTACAAGAGCATAGCATGTTGCCTGAAACAAAGGAATCAAAAAGTAATTATAGATCTTTTTACATTTGTTTCGTTTTTAACATTTCAGTCGTTTCTAATTACATTATCTGAATATTCAAGTTTGAATTGAAACAATAAGATTTACAGAGCTCTCGTATTTATGCACTAGATTTGCTTTCCTTATAGAATGGTGAAATAATTGTTTAATCATTCATCAGAAAAATCTCAGATGAACAAAGGTAGTATGGAGGAAGGAGGCAAAATGCACTGAGACGAAAGTAGTATGATTTAAATATTGGGGGAAGGGGGCACCCAAAACTTGCTTTCTGCAGCCTCCAGAGGACGAGATGAGAGGTAGAGGAAGGCCAACAGAGGTCCAAGAAGTGTACAATACAAACAAAAGGGAAACAAAAGCTTAGATTTATAAGCATGTTTCCATTACAGAACCAAAGACACCGATAAATCATATACTAGCACTTCTGCTCGAATAAAATCACTGCAAGTAGCGAACCAATCAAGCTAAGGACATACTCCAGGTACACCAGAAAACAAATATCAAATCCGAAAATGGAAGGAATCTGTTTAAGAAAGAAAAAGAAATAGATAGCACTTTGGAAATACAACACAAGCCAAGAGGGGAAAATAAAAGTTAAGCATGAACTAAAGAACAGGCGATGACCTTAAAAGAAGTAGTGAAATATTGATACCTGGATGAGATTAACGACAAGACCAGAGGCGAAGAAGAGCAGGCCCAATGGCACGACGACTGCAGCTGCAATAGCCATGGCCACGCACAAACACACACTCCCCGATTTCGATAGAAACCAAGAGCTCAGAAACAGATAAAAGGAGCAGCGGGATTTATAAATGAAGTTGTTGGAAGGCGGGGGATACGAAGACACAGTAATTAGATTAGAAAGAAGGGTAGAAATGGTTTGACGTCAAGAATTGCGTGTGACATGGATTATTGACATAGAATTAGAGAGATCAATGAGAACGTCTCTCTCCAGTCTCTCACTCCTTCTACCTCTGTCTCTCTGTCGCTCGGGGATTATTGGGAATGCCTCTGCGTCGCTGCGTCTTCGTGCAGTCCGAGCGTGCCTTATGCGCAAATGTCCAACAGCCAGTGCCTAACGTCGTTAGCCATCCCAATGGATATTGGATTTGGATGGTGATACACGCGATTCTGCTAATCCCACCAAAATGTCAAATATATTATCGCAGCTTAGTAACATGAATAAGTGCGAACTGGCGGTTTTTTTTTTTCCACTGAAAAACTCGCAGGTTTATAAAAGGTGTTTTGGTGACTCTCAAAAGTGCTTCTCAGAAGTATTTTTTGTAAAACAAGACAAATTTCTCTACATATTTATTTCGTAAACCGTAAAGTATTTTTGAAACCATAGTTTGGTTTTCATCCAAACACTCCCTAAATATTAGCTCTTCTAATTAAACAAAAGAGAAAACCAAACAAAAAATCCTAAAAATTAAAAAATTACACACAGAAACGTGTCCACAAAAATTGTCATTAAAACTCATATTATTATTATTGAAACCATTCCAAGTATCATGAGTATTTATTTACAATTTTTTTTATTTGACAGTTTTTTAATGATTTTCTCATTAAAAAATTCTCGCCAAAGTAATCCTGTTAATCGCACAAGGGAAATGTCAAATAGAAATCATAAATTCAACATAAAATATTTGTTAGGGATAAAATGACCTTCTTTCCTCGCTGTACTGATTCTAGTTGTGGCTGGCGCCCTGCCACTCTCGCTAACAGTGGGCAGTGATGGCCCTTTTTTTCAGAAATTTGCAACTGTCGCGCTCATATTTTTATGAGTCAGTTTAAAATATTATCATACATGTTGCTTTCTAAACTCCTAAACTCGAAAGATTCATTATCATGTGTCCCTGCTTTTGAAAGTCAATTTAGAGAATGAGACCTAAAAATCTACATATGTTTTTTGAAAAAAATAAAACTACATTTTTGGTGGCAAAAAAAAAAGATGTTGTTTTTTTTTAAATCACAACTACTGTAAAAAGAGATTCGTAATCACCACCGGATTTGCAAGATATCTAATTGCTTAAATCGTAATACCAACCAGATAGTACTGCCACCAACCATAAATTGAGGGGTGGATCGTATCTTTTATAATTTATACTACACACGAAGATTATTCTACACTAATAACAAGGTTTAAGGCAAAAGTAGACCTCTTCCAGCCAGGTTATCGTATGTATGAGAGTCGGGATCTTTGGTAATGATTTAAAAAATTCAGTTTTTTATTTGTATTTAATTTTATAGTGAGGTCTTTGTGTCATTTATTTTCCTCTCCAGAGCACTTGTTTGGAATGACTTGGGTTTTGCTTGTTTAAAATGATAATAAAATTATTTAAAACTAGTCTTTGAATCATAATTTATAAAATATAAATAAGATTTAGGATCAATTTTTTAATCATAATTTAAAAAATATAAAATAAGTAAATAAGATAGATCTTGTTAACATCATTCCAAGTATACTCTGTCTCAATTCACGTTTTCGAGGAAGACATGACGGGGGCTCCACCCAGGTTTTGGAGTGTGTTTGGATGAAATCAAACCATGATTTAGAGAATAGCTTCTGGAGAACAGATTCTGGAAAAAATAGATTTTGTGAAAAAGTGATTCTAAGAAGTGAGAGTGTTTGGATAGCTGTTATCAAAAACACTTTTTATATGTACAAATTATTAAAAAAAAACATAAGTTAATATGATAATTACATAAAACATAGATTGTATGATGTATTTTAATTTGAAGGAATAAAATTGTTAATAATTTTTTTTACCAACATAATTAATAATACATAAGATAATATAATTAATAAATAATTAATATGTGTATATTTATTTATAAGATATAAGATTAAATATGATTAAATATGTTTATAAAAAATTAATTAAGGGGTGTTGAAGTCATATTATTGTTGAGATTTACTTTAATAGGCACGGTCATACTCTCCAATTTGAGCCAGAAGCAGAATGGATTTGCTTCTTCTGAAACCATAGTTTTAGGTTCCCAAACCATAGTTTCAAATAATTTGTGCCTGTTTGGGTTGTTTTTTTTCCAAATCATAGTTTGGATCTCCAAACTATAGTTTGGCCTCCTATCTAAACAGGCCCAGTCTCAACCTCAAAACCCAAGTCCCACCCTGACCCCTGGCACCCCACGGTCCCACACTGTGGCCCTCGGGATTTAGAGCTTAGATAACAGGGCTCAATTGTGAATCATAAGCATCTCCATGCACCACGACCGCCAGATTTTATATCACCATCAAAATCGAAACTCAAAAGAAAATTGAAAGTTTCAGATAACGGAGAAAGAATCAAATGCCTGGGCATCACACGCTCTTCAATTTCATTCGCTGCACCTAAGAATCCGCGCGATGTCAAGATACGGTTCTGAATTGCAAGCCTCGTCCGCCCACGTCAACACTCAACAAGCACATATCCTCTCTAAATTAAATGCCACTGCCTCCTATCCTAATCATAAAAATTAGTTAACTAATTTAAAGAAATTATAAAAATAAGTTAAGTTAACTATTTGTGATGAATAGGTGTTATCTTTTCTAAAATATCCTTACAAATCAAGTGTATTAGTTATAACTATTATTATTAGAAAGACTATCTTGAAAAAAAAACATAAATATGAGAGATAAAGTAGATTGATGTCTTATATTTAGGATCGAAATAAAAATCAAACGAGGTCTTATATTAAAGACTAAAAGTAGTATCACTTCCGATTTTTAGTATAAGAGTTTGTTTGATTTTTATTTTGATTGTAAATATAAAATTTCAATTTATTTTGTTTCTGATATTTATCTTTTTTTTTTTAAATAGTCCCTATAATAAGTTTTGGTCCATGTGTATTAATGAAATTTGTTCCGTGGAAGATACTTCATTGATGCTGGGATTAACTTTCCATTTGATTCTCCGTTACCGGGAAACAAAAACACCATGTGATCCTCATTATTATTATTGCACGTTTTAAATAAAACTTTCAAGACTCTAACATGGTTTATGTAAAAAAAAAAAATCTTAATCGGATAATATTGGAGTACCCCTCTGATCCTATATATAAGTTTTAAATAACCGAATCACGAGCAGTTAAAATTAATTAAAAATAATAAATATATCAGAAATGTTTTTTTTTAGTTTACTCTTATTTATTAAGAGAGTAAGTGAGAGAGATAATAAATTAAAAAAAATGATGAAAGAGAATATATGAGGATAATATTGATAAAAGAAATAAAGTATTAAATACAGTCAATTAAAAGTAAAATAAAAATAATAATAAATGCTTAAACAAACTTAAAATTAAAGTTTATATTCTGGATCAGATTTCTCTCTAAAAATAAAGTTTACACATAGAACCGGAGGGAGTATAATTTTTAATAATATTGTCAAAATCACTAGAATAAAAATGTTTAGCTGGCATATGAAATATATGCATTCATGTTTTTCCTCGGTAAACAGGCGTGTTAAGGGATCGGACATCGACCTTGACGGCATAAAAACGTGAGTTCACGTGGAGGCGTTAATTAGGGTGCTACTCCATCTATCTTATATGCTACTGTGAAAGTCATCAACAATAATTTATGTCAGCCAAATAGTTCTTCTGATCCAAAATATAAGCTAAATTTTTTTAAAGAGGTTGGTTTTTTTATAAAATAATATTTATTTTTGTCCAAATATTTAATGAGTTTTTTTTTTTTAAATTTTGCCCCCACATATTCTCTTTCCTTTTTAATTCATTTACTACATCTTTTACTTATTCTCTTCATTAATAAATAGTTTATTGTTTTGAATTGATTTTAATTAGTTTCTTGATAAACATAATGATGAGATTTAGCTTATATTTTGAACCGGAAGGAATATAAAATAAGCGAAAAATATACAAATGGCCTATCGCCTAATAATTATAAATATGGTAACTTTCGTCATGATCATGGCAAACACGCTGCCAGTCACAATGCAAAAGGGGGCAATAAAGATTAACGTGGAGTGTTGGGGGGCCAAAAAATAAGTGGAAAATAAGAGGATGCGTCAGCAAAAAATGTGATCACTAGTCCCAGTGGACGGTGGCGTCCCATTTAAATTCTTGTTCATTTAGTGGTAAGTAAAAATGTAGGACTAAGTTTAATTATAGTAATGATGACGATCATAATCGTTAATTTGGTTGGCCTAACTAAATGAGCTGAGCTTAACCCGCGATACCTTCGTAAAGTCCGCCTGAGAAGACCGGACAACATTCATGACAACACCCACCCCCCCCCCTTTTGTTCTGTGATTTGATTCTAGACAGGGGCAACCGTTGGGAAAGATAATGACAGCATTACTTCAACCAACACCAAATCTTCCTAACTTCAGAATTGATAACGCATATTTGAGTTGTCCACAGCTCTCCATTGTTTGGATGGTCCAAACAATCCCTTATTAATTACGGCTGTCTCGCTTGCGTCAAAAAGAAAAGGACAATACTGACCAACTTTAAGTGGATCTTATCCGTATCAGCTATTTTTTGGAGCTGTACCGGAATAAAAAAAAAAGGCTATTATTTGGGGCCTCCGTAAAACTTGTTCGCGAAACCGAACGAACCCTTCAGCAAGTTAATGGGCCAGGCCCAGAGACTATCCCTGCACTCACAACGAGAGACAGATCCTTCTCATTTCGTTTGTGACTACCTTTTTGTAAACCCTCACAGGACTTAGCTGGTTGAGTTGTGACGGTTTACTGGGGGAAGATGATTAATTAATCATGACTTATGTCTTGACATGATCATTGATCTGGTCTTTTAATTGTTGAATCATTGTGCGTTTTAAGTGGTTATTGGCTAGCCCGGTGACCTGCCGGCTTCAATATTTTCTCTCTATACCCCCCACCTGCCTAAGGGGATCTAATAGAGTTGCGAATGTGAGGGCAATCCAGGTTGTTTGTTTATGAAATGATCTCTATAATTATGATTTCTTCACGTACACGCTACAATTTATTTTTCAAATTGCTGGGCCGATATTTATGAATGATCATAGATATTTTCAGCAGAGCACTCATCAATTGCTCGGGATGTTCCTAACAACCACTCCAGTCCAAATACCGAAGCTGACAAATTAAACATAATG